TTTGTGAGTGAATACCACAGATCATTGATTTTTCAATGTAATAAGGCCAACCACAACGAGTTCCATACCGGAATGCACAGGTATCCCGCAACTAACCTTTGCAGAACGGTAGGGGCAGGCTGACACAAAAGAATTCGTCGGAGAAACGCTTTAAATATATATGTATATTTACAGTTTATGTCTTAGAAACAACTAGTTACTAAGATTCATCAGAAATATTAAACTGAAGGCAATGAACAGAATACCGACCCACGGCCAGGATATGTTTTGGTTCGGAGTCCAGAAAAGCAGCATAGAATATGGCCGATTTCGTGTCCATCGTCTTTGACTGCATGCAGTGCGACGCAAGGTATGTGGAGGTTCCTGGTCGCAGTAGAGACACTCTGAGGTTAAACCGATCGTCGGCTGTGTTTAACATGCAGATCACGGGATAATCGGGCAAATCAGGCATTTCTCGTTCCGCAGACAGACGTGCAAATGTGTCGGGCAGACGGACAGCCGAGAGCAAAGTTTTTTCGTGGTAGGTGCGTTTCAATTTGCGCCAACCATCATCCGCAATTGCCGTCACTTCTTCCTCTGGGTCCACCCAAGGCCAACATTGGAATCTCAGCCGCATGTTGCTCAAGCCGTATACGCCAGAGTCGGCCGTCTTGTCCGGTGATAACCAGCCGCAGTACATAACCGGCGCTTCAGCATTGAAAGCCTGTTGAATAATAAGGCTACTGTTATGATATCAGTAGGACATTTGTTGTTAGTTAATTCTTGACTCGTCCAAGGAGTATGAAGCTCACCTGAAGAAGGGCATCCTCCGGAGAAGCCTTAACGTCACTGACGCAGACGAGACCATCCTCCGATGAGCTCAGTAGGCGGGAAGTGTTATCGAAGGACAGGTTGGTTACACAGTCTGAGTGTATATCGGAGAGAACAGAAAGAGGCTGCGTGAGACTGCGAACATCCCAAACCAAAATGGGAGCCTGAGGCTCGTCATCCTCTTCTAATTTCTGCCTTTTTTTCTTCTTCTTCGAGATGTCATCTTCGAAACTATCTGTCCCGGCACAAAGGTAGCGAGATGTAGGGTCTATAGCACAGCACGTAAAGCTTGCGGAGCATGGGAGGCTTTCGTTGCCGGGCGGCGAAGAAATGGCCTGAATTAATATTAGTAGTAGGTTATGCACTAGGACATTAATCACAGTTGTATCATCAGGCGTGTACAATAATATAAAGGGGTAGAGTTAGCAAAAGTTTCAGCAACCAACCAACGGTAATTAAAGGGGGGTAATTGTTAAGAGACCAAAGGGGGCAGGGGGAGGAGGGACGTGTCCTAAAATTAGTTCATATCAACTGGTCATCCTCTCGTCGCTTCGCGACGTCTTGACGCCAGTTGTCATTGTCTGCTCATCGTCTCGCGGCATGATAGAAGGTGTGCGGACGGATGTTGAGTTTGTTCTCGGCCACGGGAGCCGTAGGGCCACTACAAAGGCTTTCTGCGCTTACAAGACCGGGTTTGTGATTGCACGATATGGCGAATTTGCAATTGCAAAGTGTCTGGCAGAAAAGCTGAAACCGATTCGGCACCAAATAGCACCATACAGCCTACGGGACATGTTTGAATTCGTCGAGTCCATAAGAAACACAAATATCAAGGAGAAAACGATGTTATCCTTAAATGTTGCGTCTCTGTTCACCAACATTCTCCTCTCAGAAACCTTAGAATATGTGTGACGAGATGGTTAAAAAGGACTTTCCAATCGGCATGCCGATCGGAGACCTAAAGGAACTACTCTTCCGCTGCACGTTAAACGTGCAATTCAGCTTTAGTGGAGCAACGAACTTTCCCCTATTATAAAGGATCTTCATTCCTATGCTAGATATATAGATGATATATTCGTAATAGCAGATGGAAGTATTGAGTTGGACACTTTCTTAGCTAAAGTGAATCAGGTGCACCCGGCGGTAACCTTCACTCTAGAAAAAGAGGACAGACAGTGCCTCCCCTTTCTGGACGT